TAGCCCATAATAGTATTGGGTCTTCTGCTTCACTGGCAATGTCAGAAATTGTTCACCTGAGTCCCCTACAGCTCAACATAACAGCATGGCTTTACTTCTTATATTTCGTTTTTATACTTTTCTGCTGGATGGTTAAGACCAAGGTAAAGCAGGACCTATGCAACAAGAGTTGTAGCTTTTGGGTTTGATAAGGTCAGTGAAATCCCCTCAGGATTTATCCTGAGATCCTGTACCTCAGATTGTAGAACCTTTGTCAGTGTCAGCCATGTGGATGAGTCATGGCCATTGCTTGGCCAATGTGCTCTCTGTGAAAGCCTGAGAGAGTGTCTTCTCTCCATGTGACTCTCCTTAGGCACACTCTACATCATCGATCACTTTCCTCTTTGGCCCCATAATCTCCTTGATCAGAAAATTTGGGACACTACCGAGGTACATGACGTTACAGTACAAGTTCTCCTATGTCCTGAGTCTTAATTGACCTTAGAAGGCTAGGGCCAAAATGTTGGCTTTTCTTGCAGCCCTCCTTTTTCTCTAGTTTTGGTCTGCAAACTTAGGTTGTTAACCATCCAGAAGACAAGCTTATTGTTATTACCATACAACTTAGGCTGTTAAGCTTAACCTCACTATCGATCTGAATATCAAACATCTTAGGCATAATATGGAACAGGTATTTTTCCTTAAGTATTGATATGTTAAACTTTAAGTCCCTACAGAATATGATAAAAAACACTTAAAAATTCGAATATATTTTTAAAATAGGCATAAAGAATTATATACTTCTTATGTTTACACATAAATCCAAAAATCTCACCATATACAACCTTGAAGCAGGATCCTCCCACAATATTCCTTTTCCTGTCTCTTGCTTTCATTCACCACCCCCTTCTTCTTGAACAGCCACCTACCCGAGAGACATCATAGCAGCAACTGGCATGTCATGACAACAGCCCATATTCAGAAGACCAGAATGACAGGCTCTCCACGCATGAAACTACTATTACAAATTACCATCTGCAGTGCAGTAGCTTAGTTCACAGGTATCAGTATATATAGTTAGTTAGGGTGAGAATCGTTCCAATTAACTGCTAGATTAAAAAATCTTCTGAAGATTCTCAGGATCATTGCCTTGCCCATCTTCTACATATAACTGTATGGCTTGACTTATTCATGTTTCCTAGCTCTTCTCCTTTCCCTCTCTTGATTAGTTCTTGAGATCCTGCTTTCCTTTTACTTGTATTATACCTTTCTATTTGTATGTCTTCTTTTGAGTTCGTATACTAGGGAGACTATACGATATTTACATATGTATGTCTGGTTTATTTCACTTATGAGTATATGTTCAAGTGGCATCCACTTCAATATAAAGGCTTCGAGTTTATCATTCTTAATAGCTGAAGAGGATGTATCTTTTAATCAATTTTTTAAGATAAACATTCATACTATATTCTGACTACCCTGTGTAGGTCAATGAAGAACGTGTCTATGGGGTCAAGTGAAATGCCTCAGCTGATTGGGTAGCAAGGCCCAGGAAGCTCACTAGCAAAGGGTCAAGGCAGTGCTCTGCACAGTTAAGGAGAGGACATAGAGACCAAGGTGTCTACAAGTCAGCCTGCTTCTTAACCAGCTTTCAACCACCCTGTCACACTGACCATCACCCCATTTCATTTACCCTCAAGTTCCATAGAAAATCTGAGGTTTCTCTTCTGAGTGTGATGAAGATCCTACCCTGAAAACCAAGTTGCTTTTCAACTTTCTCCTCTACCATCTTCAGAATCAGCTTCCTGGGGGTTTGGTTTCCTGCGTACCTTAGCCTGTCTTTCTCTCTCTCTCTCTCTCTCTCTCTCTCTCTCTCTCTCTCTCTCTCTCTCCCCCCTCAATGTGTTGCCCAGGCTATCTTTGAACTCTTGGACTCAAGGAGTCCTCCCACCTCAGCCTTGAGTACCTAGAACTATAGGTGTACTCCACCAGGCCCAGTTAAGTCTATCTACTTTTTTAGATTCATAAATTCTGGTGCTATTATCCCCTCTTCTATGTTCTCTATTCTAGTGGGATTTTGTCTTTCAAAAACAAAGCCAGAAAAAAAGCCTTTAATGTAGTTATAATGGGGCTTTGGGAGGGAATGAATTTAGGTGCATGCATTCAATCTGCTGTCTAAATCCAGAAATCTCCAGAGGAAATCCTGCCTCTCCCTTCCTTGGCTGCTTGGACATGACAGCTAGTTGGATGGCTCCTTTAGAGCTGTGCTTACTGTACCCAGCAAGGAGACGCTGAGGAAGTTGAGGCTGCGGGGTAGAGGGGGTGGGGCACATGCAGAAGCCTAGCTGGTACACTTTAAATGTTGCTTCATCTTGAAGCACCCTTAGTATCTGTGATTTTGAAAGTCAGGCCTAGGCCCAGCTGTCCCACTTACTTATTCTGTGATTCTGAGCTAGTTGCCACCCACTAAGAAGATGGCATAGCGTCATGACTCTGACTGGGAGCTTTTACAGTTGATTTGCATGTGTTTTCTGCCCTTCAATTAGGAAAATCAACTACGTATCACACACCTGCCAAGCGGAGCTCAAAGAAATATTGGTAGGAGCAGTTTCAGTTCTAGCAGTTTCCAAACATAGAGCCAACCCATCTCTGTGTTTGGAACAGACGGTTTCAGGGTGTCTTCCCTTTCTATCTATATGTTGGCTTGTGGCTGGGGATGGCATGGCTCTGTGCAGTGCCTGCTCCACTTGGGCAAGTGTTCCAGCCCACTCATGATGCTGCTGCTAGAATAGGCTGTCCATACCATCAGGGGATCTTCCGCGGCCAGTCAGTTCCACATGCCATCTGTAGATTTTTCTGCCTCATGGACTACTGAGGCACTGTAAGCGTATGCTAATGCTGAGAGAGGGTCCGGTTTTATGACCCATCACTAATATCTTCCAAGTCACATGAAGCTACCAGAGATTCCTGAGCAAAAGCTTAAAAAGCTTTCATTCTCTACAAGTAAGCCCCATTCATCGCTTGTAGAATGTGTCGTCATGGAGCGGGCGGGCGAGTCATCAGAACCCAAGTGCTATTTGCATACTGGGGTTTTTTCAACTCCAGTGTGACTGTAAACTGTGTTTAGAATCATCAAAGAGCTAGACTAGTTATGTGGGCCTAAAGAAGTGGAGTTGTGGAAAGCCACGCTGCTGCTCATGTTCCACCCACATGACCTTGCTCCAAGGACAAACACGAGTGCAATGAAATGAAGCCGCAGATGGCCAGTGAGCACGGCTCTGTACTAAGGAGCCCCGCCGAAGTGGGGGTGCTGAGCCCTTTCCGGTTGCTGCTCCTAGTATGCCAAAGGAGTCTTTTTCACAAGTACATTGGGTTTACTTGCTAGGAAGAGTTCATGTTGGTTGGTTTTGTTTGGGTTTCTTTTCTTTGCGGGGGGGGGATGGGTATATGTCATCTTCCTTAAACCTCTCCAGCCAGTTAGCTTGTCTTCTTATTCCCAACTTTAAATATTTACAATTTGTGCTTAAAAATTCATCTACAGCCTCCCTAGTAACACCTGGCCTGGACTTTCTCAGTGACACATTATGAGTCTCTGTCTCACAGCATGTTTTCCATCTGGCAAGTTAATGACTCAACACACAAACTACAAGGGGGTTCAGGAGTGAGGCAAACCTGCTCTGCATCCTGCTCTGCTACTAACTAGCAGTGTGACTTTGGGCAACTTAACTTGACCTCTGGGCCTCAGTGTCCTCATCTGTCAAATAAGGACTGAAGTAGCCCCTACCTCAGAAATAGCTGTTCATAAGAATTGAACGAGACCAAATATTTAAAAGTGTTGACTTTGTGCCTGGAGCACAGCAAATGCTCAGCAAATTCAACCATGGAAATCTTAGCATTATTGCAAATAATATATCCAGATACCTACTGGACTATCACCCATTGGAAAGATGGGGCCATGGTAGACCCTAGGTGTTTCTTCATTGACATGAATGGAATTGAATGCCCTGCTTAGCTTAGCTGCAGGAGATGAGTATTTGCTTCACCACAGTGTTTGATGGCCGCTACTGAGCACTCGTAGCTCGGGTACTGAGGGCATGAGAGTGGAGATGCTGCTTCTCGTAGAAAGAGGAAGAGCCTCTGGTCATGCAGGCTTTCCCTGGTCTCTGTGGACACCCCTGCTGCCAAGCACTTGTTCGCGTCAGGGTGTTGAGGCCAAGGCAGCCGCTCATTTGAGTTTTGAAGTGTTTGCTGACAATGGTATCGAGTATGAGGTCATTTTAATTGCCTCAGCTGAAAGAACTGGGTCATGCAGAAAGTCTATTCCATGCTGGTAGAATCCTGTCTTCTAAAGCATGATGGAAAGGGAACTCGCACCCACAGGAGTCCTGAAGCCCTGAAGCCCAGTAGGGTCAAGAGCAGCAAGGGCTGCAGCTCGGAGCCTGGCCATTGTAAGATGTGCACTTGACTATTTGGTTTTGAACTCATCATTTGGTTTTGCAGATTCCTCAGTATTTGTACACACACACACACACACACACACACACACCAATTTAGAGCTGTGTGCTCTGTGACAGGGGTGGGAATGGAGTAGGATGACAGGGAACCATTACCAGTCAAAGTCATTGCCAGTGAACCGACTACCCAGCTTAGCTTCATGCCCACTTTCAACAAGACAATGATTGCTCAAGACAGGGAGTTCTTCACATGAAATCCGTGCATGGGCATACGAGGTTCAGAAAACCCCCTCAACTCATGCATAGAAGGCAGTGGCACACAGGGAATGGGGGACGCCCTGAATGCACTTTGTGTGAAGCAAGACCATAGTTTGTAACTGCTTCTCTAGGGAGACTGTGACCCAAGACAAGCTAAGACCACAAAGCTATTTAGTTTTGCTTCCCCAAACAAGTCAGTGCATAGAACCGCAGCATCCCAATGACCCCACTAGGTGGTGAGGGCGGTGGCAAGATCAGTCAGAACCGTGTCATGGCCAAGCAGCTGATGGATTGTTCAATCGGTTGTTGTAGACTCATGTAGACAAAGCCTGCAAGCTTGGGGAAGCCAGGCCCCCCCAGGTCAGCCTCGGGCGACAGCCCCCATCCTGCCAGGCCCTGGGGAGTGAGGCCTTCCTGCCCGGCAGCTCCTTTGCTCATGAGCTGGCCAGAGTCACCTCCTCGTACAGCACCTCAGAGGCAGCGCCCTGGGGCGGCTGGGATCCGAAGGCCTGGAGGCAGGTGCCTGCTCCACTACTGCCTAACTGCGACGCCACAGGTAAGCCATTTCTTCCTGAGCCTCGCTTTCCTCATCTGTCACCTGGGGTGCAATCCCCTGCTCAGCCTGCCCGCCTGCCTCACTGGGTTATTGGGAGGAGCACAGGAGGTGACAGCCCCGAAGGCAGACCTGGATGCCAGGGAGGGACTGCTAATGCTTTCTGCCCTGCACATCCTTCCGCACCACTGCATCTCCCCACCTGCTGCCTGCCTGATGGCACCTAGTGGGTGCTCAGGACCTGCCTTTCATCTGCTGCGGGTGCCCATCCTAGACTCCTGCACCCTCCACCTGGGAAGCTGGGCCACCCCATTGGAGGCATAGTGGTCCAGTCCAGGGGTGAAGGCACATGGGTGCAAGAGGACCGTGAGCTGGGATTGGCCTCTAGATTCTAGAGCCCAGCAGGGGTGCCCTGGCGTGGCCTCACAAATCACATTAGCAGTGATGAGAACAAGATGCCGGAGACCAGCATTTGCAAAGAATTTCATTTGTATGGCAGGGTTCTCATTGTTGTCGTGGCGTATGAAACAGCAATGTGTGTGGGATGTCTGCCCTGTCTGCTAAGCAAAGTGTTGACAGGAGCATTTTCTAAGTGATAGTGATCAGAAGATGCCATCAAGCCAGAAGAGCCTCCCAGAACTCCGGCCTTTAATGGAAATTCTGCTTTGGTACATGCGGCCCCTTCCCTCATCCTGCCTGCTCTGGCCTGGAAGAACAGGCAGTGCTTTCCACTCAAGAGCTATTGATTTCTCTCAGCACTCCTCAGCTGTTTGCTCTCTGGCTGAATCCAGCAGAATCTCGTCTAGCCCCAAACTGCCAGGGAAACAGAACTAGGAGAGCAGATGTGTCCACTCAGAATGTGGCTGTTTCCAGCCTGGTCTGCCCTGCCTTGCCCTGCGCTGGCCTCAGGAACCACTGACCAGAGGACCCCAGCAAGCCTGCACAGGAGTCCTGCTTCTTACCTCATTCTCTCTCTGCCTCAGCAGGAAGGCAGCCCTGACCTCAACTAGGAGACTGGGATGCTGGCCCCTCCTGGGGGGCTCCAAGGGACAGGTCAGGCTGTCACCTGGTCACCACCGCCAGTGAGTCAAAGGGAGGCAGGGTGCAGGCACCACAGGGGAAGAAGAGGAACCTTTGTTCCCTCTGTCAGAGGATCACTCTCAGCACTTAGACCAAGCCCTGCCGGCACCGGCCAGCCCTGAAGCCACTGAGCTGGAGTCTGGACAAGGATAGTTTACACAGTCATAGGTCAAGTGGAAAGACAAGACCACAAATGCAGGGTGACAAGGGTGACCACACCTATCCCACTCATTGGCTTTTGATGGCATTTATTTTGTGAAGCCCCCAGTGACAGCTGAAGGTGACTGGCCAGGGTTTGCCTAATGTAGACAATGGGCTTCACCTGGGCCTCAGGGCCATCTCTGACTTGGGTTCTGCCACTGCCTGTCTACTCAGCATGTGTTCCCCTGCCGTGTTGTCTTAGATCACAATCTCCTTGGCCTGCTCTCTTTGTCTATTGAAGGTCCCTAAAAGTATAGGTACACAGTAATAGCCCCAAGCCAGGGACAGAGCCTAGCCCATGGGAGACCCGCAATAAGGGTGTGTCAGCTGACTGATAAGGACTGGCTTGGCTGTCCTGTAAGCCCTATCTTCCCACTGCGCACTTGGGCAAGCAGGTTCAGGGGCTTCAGAGTCATTCAGGCCTGTGTCCCTCTCGTGACACTTTGGGTAGGGGAAGGCATTGAGCCAAGCCCACGCACAAGGGCAATTGTTGAGTAGCCCATCCCAGATTGTGGCCTCAGCAATTCATAGGAAGGAAACTCACCCTCTGTTCCAGTCCCCTCCATGGGCATTCTGGAGTCAGGGACTCTGGCATTCTGTACTCCTAGAAGGAAACTAGGAAACAAAACATGCCCACCATTTGTTATCAGAAGCTCCTGCTGGTTTCTGAAGACCCTGTCAAACTGGCCTCAGGTAGGGATGGCCAGACCCTGTGGACATCATATATCCCCAGCCACATGGGTACAGGAGCCCCCAGAATGCAAATCTCAATGATGTCACAGTCCCTACACACTATGCCATCCTCCTGTCATTTCAGAGGGAGTAAGAAGGGTGAGTTGTTCCCAATTTTGGCTTTTCAAAACTCCAAAAGAAAAGGTGCTTTTCCCTGTGGAATAATAAGCAACCAGTGCCAGTGCTCATTAGCCTTTGGGACAGAATGCTGAGCGCCTTCTGCTGCGTGGCAGGCTGGCTCTGTGCGGGGAAACTCAAAGGGCTCTGTCTGCTGGGAGAGCAGGTGGGAGTTCCCTGATAGGCGAGAGTTTGCCTGTCTCTCCGGTCCCCCCCTTCTGCCTTTTCCCTCTCCCTCCTCCTGCTACTCTTTCTCTCCGTGCTCCCTGCCTCCCTCTGTCCCTTGACATGCCAAGCCAGAATGCCCTCCTCTAGGGAACCATGGGGTGAGTAACTTCAGTCTGAATTGGGCTGAAACCCAGGAGCATTCTGTGGGCATGTGTCCAATTCCTGCTGATCACCTGCCTTCTGGCTTCGCCCAGCTGGAGAGCCCCTTTGTCTGATTAAGTGGTTGAATTGGTAATGAGATTATTTTCTCTGCAGCAGGGAGAGGGAAGCATGTAGGTGACTGTGCTAGGATGGGGACAAGAGCATGACCACTTGGTGGCTAATTGGGGGCAGATGCAGCACCTGGCCTGGTCTCTGTGGAGCCGGCAGGAGGCAGCAGGGTCTGGGCCAGGCCTTTTTCCCCTTTCCTGCTTGGTGCACAAGGGGAAGCAAGAGTGTTGCTGTGAGCCTCCAGCAATGGCAGCCCAGGACCTGTCTGTGACTTTGGCCCCTGGGCCCAGAGGGGCTGGGAAAGGGTGGGACAAAGGAGGAACCAGACCTTAGACTTTCTGCCAGCCCCAACCCTAGGTTCACCAGGGCGGCCACCCTGAAAGAAGTACCCTTAGACCCTCACAAGACCCACAGGGCAGTACTGCCTGGCAGGGCTGTGGGCACCATGTCAGTTGCAGTGCCAGTCATTGTTGACCTCCTGTGGTGCTTATAAAGCCACTAACTGGGGCCATGTCTCACAAGAGGCAGAAATTGAGTATCCTGACACTAAGCAGCGATTTTCAGCCACTATTCCGTCCTGGTCACTGAAACCATTTGGCATTTCCTGTTTGCTCCATTTTCCAACGATTCTAATTGTCAGTGTCAAAAGGCAACAACTGTTTTCTTGGGGCTTATCTTTGGAGCACATTGATTCAGAACAAAGGATGGGCGCTCAGTCTGCAAAACAAAGGAAGTGGCCTCTGAGGGAATGCCCAGGACAACAGGACCAGGGTGGGAGTGAGCAAAGAGCCTGTGGAGGACCCCTCTTCCTGGGGCTCCCCATGGCCAGGCTCAGGGGTCTACGGAGCTGGCCACCATCACCAAGGGCTGGCCAGGGCACTATTCGGACTTGGCAGTCTCTGTAATGATGTCGGCTCCGGCCAGGTTCCCCACACCTCAGGACGCTCTGGAATCTGTGTCTCTATGGGTGCAGATCCTGTAGCATCCCATTTGTCCCCACTGCTCCAGACCGGGTGCAAGCTCTCCTTCATCCGGCAGGCAATCCCTGGGCTCCACTCTCTGAGTCCTGCCCAAGCGGGCTGTTCGTTTTGTTTTCCACTGGCCCTGGGCGGACTTTTTCTGCACATCCTGCCCTTTGCACCTCCCTGCCTTCTCTTTGCTCACACCCTCTGGCCTCCATCTCCCCACCTCTCGGCCCCGCCCCCATCTATGGTGCTGCTTGCTGAAGCCACTGGGCAGCCGGCCCGGCTGGGACTAAGCACTGTGTGCACCTAGGTGGCCCCCATGGAGCCAATTCCAGAGGTGGCGCACTGGAGAGGGTGAAGCCCTGGGGATGCTGTCCTAGCATTCCATCTGCTTCCTGGCTGTATCACTTTGGACCAGTCATTTAACCTCTCTGAGCTTCAGTGCCACACGCCTCGGAGTTGGGACTGTGGATCTATTCCAGTGGCCTCAGGCTGGTAGAAGGGTCAAGGGGAAGGCTGACATGAAGCGATCACACACCCCCAAGCCTGGATAAGTCATGTGACCACCATGCTCCTCCCTGTCCCCATGCAGCATCTCCAGCTGACAGGAAATAAGAGGTGTGAAGTGCTCAGGACGATGAGCCCTGGTACCTCCTCTCCAATCCCCCCCCAGCTTCCGGGTACTCTGGCCAGAAGAGAGGAGCCCCAGGGGTGAGCTGAGAAACAGCCCCTGCACCTATACTGCAGCGCAGCCAGCAGCAAGCCCCCAGTCTGCGAGCAGCAGCAAGAGCTGGGACAGGAAGGAGCCCAAGGGCGGGACACAGAAGCAGAACAAGTCTGGTGTAGTCTTCCCGGTTCCCTGTTTGTCCTCTCTGCCTTGGCAGGAACTGAGCCAGGAACCGCTGCCAGGCCTGAGGGCCAGGCACACTCCCAAGCGCCGGCCCTCCACCCGGCCCTGCTGCGCCAGCCCTGAGGGGGCAGAGAAGCCGCCTGCCTGCACCCCAGGCAGCCCCTATTGTAGGGTCAAGTCCTCTGGAGTGGGGGGCAGAAAGAGGGCTGAGGGCATGTGCTCCCTGACAGCTGCCTTGGCAGTTGGCACACTCACAGGCAGGCTTGTCCAGAAGGGCAGAGAGATAGCAGCAGGTAGACAGAAAGGCAGAGCCCAGCTACCAGTCAGAGCTAAGACCCAGTCACTACCAGCTGCAGGCCTGGGAATAAGCCCTGCCTTCTCTCGCCTTGGGGTCCCGATTCTCCCCTTGGCCCCAGGGGCCCACCCAGCCAACTTCCAGCCAGAGACAGGAAGCCCCTCCCATCTGTCCGCCCCAACCAGTCAGGAGAAGGATGGGAAGTTGGCAGTGATAGCTGGCTACTCTGGGTGTCGGGCAGTGTTTCCAGACTGTGTGATCATGCAGCCGTCCACGCTAGGACCACCCAGAGCAAGTTGTGGTCACTTGTCCAGGACAGCGCCGACTGGAAGCCCAGAATCCCCCGCCCCCCGAGCTCGGCTCACCCAGCCGTTTCATAGCCTCCTCTGAACGCAGCCAGTTTGTCTGGGCCTCCCTGAGACTGGCATGCCCAGATTCCTGTTGGCACTGTGGGCCCAGTCTGGCCAAGGCAGAGTAGCACAGGACTGTCATCTCCCTCCTACATACTCTGCTTCTATTAATGCAGCCTAATGTTACATCTGTTCTTTCGGTGACCACATCTCACTGCCGACCATTCCGAGCAGAGGGACATCCAAATCGCCTCCGTCTTTCTGTGTGCTCCTGCTATTAAGCTCTGTCCCATCCTATGCTGCAGCAGTTGGTTTTTTTAACCCAGGTGCAGAGCCCTACTTTTCTTTCTCCCTGTGGAATTTTGCTCGGGAGGGTGGAGCATGCATGCAAGTGTGTGTTGGTGTGTTCACTCATGCTTTTGCTACACTAAAGCCGAGTCCCAGGTCCCCACACAGTGATCCCAAGGCTAGTATTTCTTGGTAACTGAAATCTAATGTGTGTTTTTCATCTTCTGTTTAGCAAGAGAAACAGAAATCAGGTCTTATGGCAATGATCCCTAAACAGCGAAGTGCGTATGTGGCCCAGCAGATGAGTCAATTTCAAGGTAAGCAGTTAAGGTTGGTATTCCATCTCATGGGGGTGAGGGGGGGACGCATGCTGGCATGTGGGTAGCATTCCTTTCTGAATGGCTGCGTCTTGGAAGTACTAAGCAGAGGCGAGGCCCGAAAGGTTGAGTCTGTCCCACTGGACAGAGTTCACCCACCCACCTCTAAAAGCAGGATTCCAACTGGAGGCCTGGACTTAATGCTTCCAAAATCCTCTAATTCAAGAGACTTATTAAGCTGAGCCAGATTCCTTCAAGCCAATAGGACAGGGACAGGGCCCTGGGGTGTACATCAGATGGACCTGGGGCTGCCACAGCCTGGAGTTCCAATCCTGCCTTTCCTATGCAGTCACCCACTTGCAGTGAGTGTCAGAGCCATGTGTCAGGCATGGGGATATGACAGGGTGAGGGATGCTCCACCTCAGAGCTCCCAGGGACCTCATCTTAATAAGCAGCTGTGAATGCAGTGTGTATTGATTGGCCAGGAAAACAGCAGTTAGCAAAAAAGCCAGAGTGATCCCCACTTCATGGAGCTTACAGACTACTGAGGGAAGACTGAGATAAGCACTCTTTACAAGCCACCGGGGTGAAATTGTGGCCGAGCAAGGACACCCATGGAGCGCTCCACCCTTGTCCGCTTGCCCTCACAAGGGTTCCAGCACAATGCCACCTGCATACCATTGATCCTCCATTCTCGTGCAAACCCCTGTCCCTTTGGGCCCCGGGAGAACAGTGGCTTTGTGCCCCGTGTCCAGGCTGGAGCAGTGGGCCAGACAAGCTGGGGCTGCAGGCAAAGAGCAGTTCACTACAACAAGCACGGCAGCCCCACCACCACGTTCAGAGGCAGGCTAGACTGTAAAGCACAGAGAAGAAATGCACACCGCCCCTGCTCCTCCTCACCACACTTACCGAAGCCAGCCATGTCTCTCTGGTCTGAGTGGCTGAGCCATCTTCCATAGCCCAGCCCCTCTTCTCTTATCCCTTCTCTCCTTTCCTTCCTCTTTTATTTCCTTCCTTCTCTTTCTCCCTTTTTCCTTCCTTTCTGCCAAAAACTATTCAGTGTGGGTCCTACATACAGGACTGGTTATAAGGGCAGGCACATCCCAGCCTCACGTGGCCTCCAGTGTACCCAAGAAGACAGACAAACCCCCTGGCCTCCAGCCCAGCATGGCCTGCTGTGGGAAGGGTGCTAAGCACAGACCTGAGAGGGCTGAGAGGGCTTTCCAGTAGAACTGCAGCGCAGGTGAGTTGAAGGGAGATGGAGGCAGGGGTGCTGAAGATGGAGCCAAGGGACACAGGTGACAAGAGGTCGATGCTAAGAGGTTGATGCTTGACCCACAGCTCCTGTCTCGTGGCAACAACCCAAGCCAAGGTTGCATTTGAAACTAATCCCACCTCTCTCTTCCTGTAGCCGTCCAAGAACAAGTCACCTCCAAGTGTAGCCAGACCACGGCAAACCCCTCCTCCAGCCAGCACATGATGCCGCCCAGACCTGGGCTCCTCCCGAACCATCTGAACCGAGGAACAATCCCACCCACCCGGCGCCAGAGCTGCGAGGGCATGGGTGTGATCTCGCCAACTCCGCGGAAGCAGCCAGGAGCATGCAGCCCTGGCTCCCAGCTCCCCACGTCCTCCCGCCCCAGCCAAAACCCCCCAGGCAGTCTTGATTTTGTCTGCCAGCATCCACAGAGTGCCAAGGCCGCCCCCCAAGGAGTGCCCCTGCCCAGGTTCTGTCCCAGCCCACTGGGCAGCCAGCCCCTCAGTCCCCACTGCCTCAGACAGCCCAGTGTGCCAAAAATGCCCACTGCATTCAACAATGCCACATGGGTGGTAGCAGCGGCGGCGGCAGCTGTGACCACAGCAGTTTCAAGGGAACCATCCCCAAGCCAAGCAGATAACAGCATTCAGCAGCATTTCGATAACAATTCTGTCTTTGCCAAGGCACCCATGAAAGTGCCCCTGGTGGCCCCAGCTTTTCCATCTCAGCTGGCAGTTGCACCCCCTGGGCACGTGACCCCGGGAAACAGGTCTGGCCAGAAGGGGAGCAGCGCTACCCTGGCCCATCCCAGCTTTAGCCCGTTGCGAGGCCCTGTGCCTGTGCTCAGCACTGAGTCCCTGCAGCAGGGCCCGGCCAGCTTGCCTCCCACAAGTCCCATGCATGGCATTGAACCACCAAGCTATGTGGCTGTCATGGCTGCCACCACCACCACCTCGGCCATGTCTGCCAGCCAAACCCTGGGTCCCTTCAACAGAACAGGAACCCCCTCTGAGCTGTCACCCAGTAACTTCTTGCCTCAGCAGCCACTAAATGATCTGATTTCACCACCTGACTACAGTGAGGTGGATTTCATTGAGGCACTCTTAAAAGGCTCCAGTGAGGACCCGGATGAAGACTGGGTATGTGACTTGAGGCTGATTGATGACATTCTGGAGCAGCACGCTGCTGCCCAGAGTGCTGGCCAGCTGCCCCAGGGGGCCAGGGGGCTTTAAATCAGAGCCAGTACAGGGACCATAGAGTGCTGCGTGCTGATGATGCTCTAAGGGGGCCTGAAACAACAGCAAATGCCCACAGCCCTAGCCAGCCACACTTGGTCCGCATTGCCATCTGAGTGGTGTCACCCCTGCCCATCCCCCTCCAGGCCTGCGACGAGATGGATGGAAAGCTGGTGATTTTTCAAGCTACTTGTACATATTTGAAAATTTTGTAAATGGTTTTCCTAAACATTAATGACAGAGGTATTTATACTTGGTTTTGTGACTTTGTAAATAAAGTGACGGCTTTTGTTTCAGTAGAGTTGTGTTTATTCTGCTTTGTTTTATGTTTATTCTACTTTGTTGCAAATACACAGGTTGTGCTGTCCACCCCAGTGATACCTTGTAAAGCCAGGTGGCCTAGTCTCGCTGTGGTTTTGATGCTATCTGTGGTTTTGATGCCCTGAGAGATGTGGCTGTGACCAAGGAGTGTTGTGCAAACTGACACACACCAAATGGAAAAGCACTTGGTCACTGATGCCCACTCTCGCTCCAAGTGCTACCGCTTGGTGTGACTCTTAAGCTCTTTTGCAAACCTGTGCAGTCTCCGCGAGCGAGCTCTTTCCCAATGAGCACTTGCAGCTGTAAAGACTTCTTGCTCGTGCCCCCACCCCCGAGACACTGCCACGAGGCTGAGGACATGTGTTAGATTCGGGAGAGGTGTAGAGAAAGCGGAGAGTGGGGCAGCTCGTGAGCTGTCCTCTCCCTTTGTCACTCAGACAGAGAAGAGAAGCCCACGGCAGGGGGAAGGCGAGCTGCGCTGCTTTCAACTCTCGCTAGTCTTGATGTGAGGCTCTGTGGTTGGGGTGAAGTCTATAAACATTAACAGTTGCTTCGGAGTTTGTCTTTGATGGTTTCTATCTGCAATTATTGTCATGTATATTTAAGTGTCTGTTACAGAAAGCCCACGCCCACTGTCCTGTAAACTTTGCTCAGTGTCCAGACTTTGTGTAATCACATTTTAATTGCCACCTCGTATTTTGCCTCGACATTTGAAATCTGGCGTCTGTTTCAAGCCAGTGCGTTTTTTCTTTGTTCTGTTAATAAACAGCCAGGAAAAAAGTGCCTCTATGTTTTCATCTTTCCAGGGAGCGCTCAACACCTACAAAGCCACGCCGCTATGCATGGTGGTCTCTCTGCTTCCTCCCAAGGCTGCATGAGGTGTTGGCCAACCGCGTGCCGCAGCCACCAGGGAAAGGGGGACGACAAGCTAGGTGGAATGTGCCACAGTAACTGACCACCAGAGCACAAAAGCGTGTCATTTTGGAGCCCAGCCGTCAGTTTACAGAGGGAATGGGCAGCCACTAAGGTAATTCCCCAGTAGGGTGGGGACAGCAGGACTTGCTCAGACTCAGCACCACCATGTTCTTGCCCTCCACAAAGATCATATCCACCCATCTTTGGCCAGACCCTGCCACCTTTGAGCAAGGACGGAATGGAACTTGTTACTTGGTCAACTTTCTTTCTCCTACACTTCAGGCCTCCGCTGTGAATATCCATTCTTTCCATGGAAGACAAAGGGTAGTTTGAGGGGGGCAACAGCTACCTGCACTTCACAGGGACAGCCACAGATCCTGGACAGGCGCCAGGCAGCCGAGTATCAGGCAAAGTGAGGAAAGAAGGGTCTTCTCATCTCGGTCCTGCCTCCAGCCCAAAACCTTGGCTGAACCCAGCCCTGCTCATTCCCCTTGGTGGGGCCAGGAGAACCCAGGGTGCAGGAGTACGGGCAAGGTCAAAGCCAGCTTGCCCTCAGGTATAGGACACCAGAGGAAAGAGGCAGTACACAGATTTGCCCCACTCCATCCTGAGGAGCCCTACCCACTGAAGAGCCAGCTCCTTCAAACCCTGGCCTGCTGGTACCTAATCCTGGAAGTCCAGGAGGCCCAGAAAACACTGTCTTCCCTTCCCTTTCCTCACCCTGTGTGGACAGAGTGAGTGGCCCAGCTCCAGCCCAGACTGCTACAGAAGCAACAGAGACCCCTGTGTCTTGCTCTTGGGCCACCTCTGTCTATCAGCAGGAGAAAGTGTCTTCCAAGGAACCTCATTCACTTAGGCTTCCTACCAAGGAACCCTAATAACAAGGCTAGCACCTGTGCTTCTATCAGGTGGCCACAACCTGGCCAATAAGTAGTAGGCATTTATAGATAGACTCACATGTCCCCAAGGTAGGTAGGAAGTTATCTGGGCCCCACATATAGCTGTGCTGGCACGGTGTGACTGAAGCTACAGCTGTGACTACATGTGACGAACATAGGTCTGTTGTGTCCAAGTAGAGCCTTAAATCTTCCCCAAGGAGGCCCGCCCAGCACTCTCAATGGCCAGGATGCAGCACAAAGATCCCCAAGGTGCACACAGCCTTCCCACTCCATTGGCCCCCGGCTCATGGGACCAGACGTCATGTTAAAGCCTTGACTCTCAGGCTCGCAGTTGCACAGCCCCTCCATTTCATGCTAAGCACTGGGCCATTGCCTGTCCCGCCGGTGGCCATCAACCAGCTTCCATTCCCTATCAGTGCTGACCCTCTGCCTCAAGTGCCCCTCCATGGCAGGCCCCAGACAGGCCTCAGCTTCCCCTCAGGGCCACACTGGAGCTCTGGGGCCCAGGTGCAGCAGCGCTCTTGCTCAAGGGGCCCAGGGGCAGCAGGAGTTGGGCACTAGGGGGCCCACTGGCCCTTACCCTGCTCCGTGCGTGGCCATCTATACAGTGCCTGTTACGCTGAACCTGCCAGGCGAGGAACTGGGACCTACATCCTGTCAGAGACCCTGCGCAGCCCTTCTGGGGCTTCCTCAGCCTGAGAGCCTCACAGGTCACAAATCTGCCATCTTCAGAGACAGAAACCAAAAGGGGGAGCCCAGCCTGCTGAGTTGCTTCTTCCTTCCACTCCCAGGAAGGGACTCAGAATGGTGTCCGCCACGTTGCCCCTGACTGGCCCCACTCCTTCCCCCAGCACTGCTTGCTCTCCTGCCTCCGTGGTGCCTGTCCTCCCACCAGGTGGTGGCTGTCCCTGCTGTCCATTCCTGAAGACGCACACTGTCCCCATTCTGCCCTTGCTGCTGCCCCCTCTCCTGTACCACCTCTCCTGTGCTGGATCCTCCCAGGCCCACCCATCCAATGCCAGCCTCAGCTCTCTGCTGTCCTTTTCAAGGAGTAGCTCTGTCCTGCATATCTTTTCCCATCGCTGCCAGCCCAAAGCGATCTGCTCCAGCCTCAGCTCCTCCTTCCCAGATGTTCTGGTCAAAACATCACCTTCATTCTGGCTCTAGACCCAATTGGAGTGTGTCCCCACTCAGCAGGTTCGCCCCTTCGCCAGGGGCTCACAACGCCCTGGCGTGCTTCTTCCCCTCTGGCCTGCAACCTAGACCACATTTTCTCCTACCTCTCTCCAAAGACACTTTGCTTCTGCCATTTTTGCCTATCACTTGGCTAGAGCTTTATTCTTATTTGGCTTCTTCTCCTTGCCAGGAAAATGGGTTCAGGAGCCTATATCCCAGCATCTCTGCATCCCTTCATCCTAGACTCCTGGTCTCCCAGCCTCCTAGATCCCAGCATTCTTACCATCCCAGCTTCCCATATCTTAGCACTCCAGAATTCTTACATCCCCAGTATCCCAGAATCCTTAAGCATCCCCAGAATCCCAGCTTCACCACATTGTTGCATCCCTGTATCCCAGCACCAGCGCATCTCCAGCATCCAATTATCTCAGCACCACAGCATCACCACATCCCTACATCCTAGCATCCCAGTATCCCAGCATCCCAGCATCCCAGCATCCCAGCATCACAGCATCACAGCATCACAGCATCCCAGTACTCCAGCACCCCAGCACCCCAGCAACTGGATAGCCCAACTTAGACAAATATGATACATCTGGTCAGGGTCCTAACTTTCACTCCTCAAGGGAATACTGTTGACTTGGCCCTACACTGGGCTGAAGTTCTCTAGACTTCCCGAAAGAAAGTAGAGGAGCTTGGAGGCTGCCGGATAACCTCTGTGAAAGAGCCCACTGTCATCATGCCTTGGGCAAAAGCCTGGTGCAGAGTCCCACATGGCCCCATCTTAGCTGCAATTCATCCCAAGAGGACTGTGGGGCAGAAATCATTGAGCTACCCATAGGTCCTAAGGAGCATATGTCCCCATATGTTCAGGCACCACTGAGTGCCTGAAGGCCTCCACAAAGGAGAGGTAAGAAGAATTCTGATGGCTATAAGGGACATGTATCCTTCCACAATCTATCCCATCCCACCATCACCCTTTCCAGCCCTAAGGGTGACCCCAGGGTAAGTGCAGGAGTTCCCAGCAATGTATGTGACATGTAGGAGCATCCCTTCTCCCATATAGCAGGGGACCCTTGGGACCCAGGGGCCAAGGTCAGTGAGTAAGTTGTTATCTTTCATGTCCTAAACCTAGGAAAACTAGGGATCTGTACACCCAAGACACATGTACAGTGGGCTTACCCAGAGTGAGGTCACTCTGTGATTTAGCCAGCATGCGTGTGCCAGGCAAGGGAAGCGGGCTTGTACGATCCCCAACCTCAAGGAGTCAAC